CCCCGAAAAATGACTTCTTTGCCGTGAATCAGGGACGCCTCTACTGAAGGATTTCAGTAGTGCGTGTGCTTTTAAAAGTTTCTCTCTTAATCTCTTGAACGCACCCTCCGTACTGACTTTCCAGCAACGTGGCCCCTTCTTAATACCTACGACTTGCAAATCCTATCCAAACGCAAGGTGTCGCAAATAAAAGTTACTGTGAAAAATCTAGTAATTAACGTTTAACGGTTTACAATAGATCCTGATAAGAAATGAATATTTTACAGAATTAGTTTTATAACGAACAACAAAATTACAAACAACAACATAAAAGTTACGTAGTCGCGTCCTACGAAAACAATATGTTTAAACAAAACAAACCTGCATAAAAGAAATAACTATTTTCAATTTGGCATAACACTATGAAACCATTGAAACCACGAGACCCATGAAACCTTTGCCACCACGAAGCCTATGAAAAAAAGAAACCCTTGACACCACGAAATCTATGGAACCATTGACACCACGAAACCTATGAAACCATGAAACCCATGAAACTATGAATCCTAAGAAACCATGCATGAAACCTTTGACACCACGAAGCCTATGAAACCCCGGAACCCATGAAACTGTGAAACCTATGAAACCACCAAACCTTTGACACCTCGAAACCCATAAAACGACCAAACCTTTGACACCACGAGACCTATGAAACCATGACACCTATAACACCATTGACACCACAAAACCTATGAAACCATGAAACCACTTACACCGCGAAACCTATGAAACTATCGACACCACGAAACCCATGAAACCATGAAACCATGAAGCTATGAAACCATTAACACCACGAAACCGATGAAACCATGATAACCTTGACACCACGAAACCTATGAAACCACGAAACCATAAAAACCACGAATTCTATGAAACCACGAAACCCATGAAACCATGAAACCATTAAAACCACGAAACCTATGAAACCATGAAACCATTGACACCACGAAACACATGAAACCATGAAACCATTGACCCCACGAGACCCATGAAACTATGAAAACATTGACACCACGAAACCTATGAAACCACGAAACACATGAAACTATGAAACCATGAAACCACGAAACCTATGAAACCATGAAACCATTGACACCACGAAACCTATGAAACACATAAAACGCATGACACCATGAAACCATTGAAACCACGAAACCCATGAAACTATGAAACCATTGCCACCACGAAACCTATGAAACCATTAAACACATGAAACTATGAAACCGTGAAACCACGAAACCTATATAACCATGAAACCATTAACAACACGAAACCTATAAAACCAAGAAAAACATAAAACTATGAAACCATTAAAACCACGAAACCTAGGAAACCATGAAACCACTGAAACCACGAAACCATGAAACCATTGACACCACGAAACCTATAAAACCATAAAACCACTGACACCGCAAAACCTATGAAACCATGAAACCATTGACACCACAAAACCTATGAAGCCATGAACCCATTGACACCGCGAAACCTATGAAACCATGAAACCATTGACACCGCGAAACCTAAGAAACGATGAAACCATTGACACCACGAAACCTATGAAACCATGAAACCATTGAAACCACGAAACCTATGAAACCATGAAACTATTGACACCACGGAACCTATGAAACCATGAAACCATTGACACCACATAACCTATGAAACCATGAAACTATTGACAAAACGAAACCTATAAAACCACGAAACACATGAAACTATGAAACCCTTGACACCAAGAAACCTATAAAACCATAAAACCATTGACACAACGAAACCTATGAAACCATGAAACCACTGACACCACGAAACCTAAGAAACCATAAAGCCATTAACACCACGAAACGTACGAAACCATGAAACTGTTGACACCACGAAACCTATAAAACCATAAAACCATTGACCCCACGAAACCCATGAAATTATGAAACCATTGACACCAGGAAACCATAGAAACCATGAAACCATTGACACCACGAAACCCATGAAACTATGAAACCATTGACACCACGAAACCCATGAAACTATGAAACCATTGACACCACGAAACCTAGAAAACCATGTATCCATCGACACCACGAAACCCATGAAACCATGAAACTATTGACACCACGAAACCAATGAAACCATGAAACCATTGACACCACGAAACCTATGAAACCATAAAACCATTGACACCACGAAACCTATGAAACCATGAACCCATTGACACCGCGAAACCTATGAAACCATGAAACCATTGAAACCACGAAACCTATGAAACCATAAAAACAATTGACACCACGAAACCTAAGAAACAATGAAACCATTGACACCACGAAACCTATAACACCATGAAACCATTGACACCACGAAACCTATGAAACCATGAAACTATTGACACCACGAAACCTATGAAACCATGAAACCATTGACACCACGAAACCTATAAAAAACATAAAACTATTGACACCACGAAACATATAAACCCACGAAACACATGAAACTATGAAACCCTTGACACCAAGAAACCTATAAAACCATGAAACCATTGACACAACGAAACCTATGAAACCATGAAACCACTGACACCACGAAACCTAAGAAACCATAAAGCCATTAACACCACGAAACCTACGAAACCATGAAACTGTTGACACCACGAAACCTATGAAACCATAAAACCATTGACACCACGAAACCCATGAAACTATGAAACCATTGACTCCAGGAAACCTATGAAACCATGAAACCATTGACACAACGAAACCTAGGAAACCATCTATCCATCGACACCACGAAACCTATGAAACAATGAAACTATTGACACCACAAAACCAATGAAACCATGAAACCATTGACACCACGAAACTATGAAACGATGAAACCATTGACACCACGAAAACCTATGAAACCATAAAACCATTGACACCACGAAACCTATGAAACCATGAAGGCATTGACACCACGAAACCTATGAAACCATGAAACTATTGACACCACGGAACCTATGAAACCATGAAACCATTGACACCACGAAACCTATGAAACCATGAAACTATTGACACCACGAAACCTATAAAACCACGAAACACATGAAACTATGAAACCCTTGACACCAAGAAACCTATAAAACCATAAAACCATTGACAAAACGAAACCTATGAAACTATGAAACCATTGACAGTAAGAAACCTAAGAAACCATGAAACCATTGACACCACGAAACCCATGAAACCATGAAACCATTGTCACCACAAAACCCATGAAACCATGACACCATTGACACCACGAAACCCCTAAAACTATGAAACCATGGACACCAGGAAACCTATGAAACTATGAAACCATTGACACCACGAAACCTATGAAACCATGAAACCATTGACACCACGAAACCTATGAAACCATGAAACCATTGACACCACGAAACCTATGAAACCATGAAACCATTGACACCACGAAACCTATGAAACCATGAAACCATTGACACCACGAAACCTATGAAACCATGAAACCATTGACACCACGAAACCTATGAAACCATGAAACCATTGACACCACGAAACCTATGAAACCATGAAACCATTGACACCACGAAACCTATGAAACCATGAAACCATTGACACCACGAAACCTATGAAACCATGAAACCATTGACACCACGAAACCTATGAAACCATGAAACCATTGACACCACGAAACCTATGAAACCATGAAACCATTGACACCACGAAACCTATGAAACCATGAAACCATTGACACCACGAAACCTATGAAACCATGAAACCATTGACACCACGAAACCTATGAAACCATGAAACCATTGACACCACGAAACCTATGAAACCATGAAACCATTGACACCACGAAACCTATGAAACCATGAAACCATTGACACCACGAAACCTATGAAACCATGAAACCATTGACACCACGAAACCTATGAAACCATGAAACCATTGACACCACGAAACCTATGAAACCATGAAACCATTGACACCACGAAACCTATGAAACCATGAAACCATTGACACCACGAAACCTATGAAACCATGAAACCATTGACACCACGAAACCTATGAAACCATGAAACCATTGACACCACGAAACCTATGAAACCATGAAACCATTGACACCACGAAACCTATGAAACCATGAAACCATTGACACCACGAAACCTATGAAACCATGAAACCATTGACACCACGAAACCTATGAAACCATGAAACCATTGACACCACGAAACCTATGAAACCATGAAACCATTGACACCACGAAACCTATGAAACCATGAAACCATTGACACCACGAAACCTATGAAACCATGAAACCATTGACACCACGAAACCTATGAAACCATGAAACCATTGACACCACGAAACCTATGAAACCATGAAACCATTGACACCACGAAACCTATGAAACCATGAAACCATTGACACCACGAAACCTATGAAACCATGAAACCATTGACACCACGAAACCCATGAAACCATGAAACCATTGACACCACGAAACCTATGAAACCATGAAACCATTGACACCACGAAACCTAAGAAACCATGAAACCATTGACACCACGAAACGTAAGAAACCATGAAATCATTGACACCAGGAAACCTATGAAACCATGAAACCATTGACACCACGAAACCTATGAAACCACGACA